AAACTCAATTAGCCCCCCCCCCTAAAATTTTGGCTGGATCCACCCTTGGGAGGTGGAGTCAATGAACCCTATTCTTATCAAGAGTGCAACAAATACAAGTTAAATACCTGCCACCCAAGCATTAATAAACATTTTTTCAATGCTAAATTCTTGTTAGAGCAATATGGACTGGAAGAAGTCTCTCAATGGAATTTTGAATCATGGAATGAGCCTCAGAACAAAGAACATTTTGATGGAATAAAAGTCTCTCTGCCCGGATATTTGAATTACTATGATGCTTGCTCTGAGGGGCTACGTATGGCACACCCCACTTTGAGACTTGGTGGTCCTGGTTCTGGAGACCCTGAGACACATCCAATATTCTATGTGAGTGGTCGAGAGCTTGGTTTTCCTGTCATCCTTGAAGCACATTATCATCATGATAAACATTTGTTAGCATTTAGTTAATCATACTATAATCATCAAAAATAATTATTATATTCATCATCATCAATATCAACATCAGCATTATCATCGACATCATCATCATCATATACCATTGCCTTCATCATCATCATCATTATCATGATAATCATTTATTGGCATATATGGATCATGCTATCATTATCAAAAACTATTATCAGTATTGTCATCAGCATCATCATAGCCACACACTCATCAATATATCACTATCATCACCATCAATCATCATCATCACCATACACATCACTTTAGATCACTATAAGGTTTAGATCCTGAAATCACATTGTGTACATTTTCCCTTAATTTTTTTCCACCTAGTCTCTTCTTGATCACTGTCACAATGGAATCAACTTCTTCACCGGCAAGAAAGGAGTGAGACTGGACTTTATTTCCTTCCACATCAAAGGGCAAGGACATTCAAGAACTATACTAGAGACAGAACAACGTGTACTCAGTACCATCGAACAAAAATTCCCCAAATTTGTTGGGATCCCTGTGTACAACGACGAAGCCGATCCCCTTGTGGGTTGGAGTAAGGAAGAGGAGTGGCGTGCTGATGCTAGGTATGCGGCTATGGTTGTCAAGGTAAGGTAATGCAAAAATGTAAGGCCATTTCATATAGCTGACACCAACAGACATATATAGCACTGAGACACTAAACTAACTGGAACCACTTTCAACCAACTTAACGAAGTTAACAAATTATAAAAACAAAGCAATCCAACTTTAACCAATCAGACAACTTAGAAGTTATCAAGGAAAAACCACCTTGTATTTGGCTATTTTTGTTTTCTCCTGATTATCTTCAATTTTTTACTGACATCGTGATTGGTTAACTTAATTTGTAAAAACGATCCTAGCATGTGTGTCTACACCGTAATGATTTCTTTCAAAAACTATCTGCTTTTTTTTACTGTACTAGATTATCGCTGAACATCAAAACCTCTTGATACCGACTCATAGAATGAAGTAAGTTTTACTGATGGTTTTACTACGAAAACGTATGATTCAGCCTTTTTTTGCGACTACACATGCCTTGCCATCCATCTTTTCACGTTTTATTCTTTCGCTCAATTTTTAAGAGTCCCACATGGAAAGGAGTGACCTTGGATATCAAGCCATTGGTGACGCAAGTGAAATATCGAGTTTGCTGGTCATAGGGGTTAATCATCTACGGTCTAGGGGCCGACTAACCTCTCCCTTAGGCTTCGGCCGAGCTTCCTGATCAGTCAGTAATTCTCCGGATAGCGGTGTCGGGGCCGAAATCTCCGGCGTAGCCGTAAATGCTTCGCGCTGCCATACGACGGTTCAGCACTCGATGTCTGGAAGTATGGTCCTGGTTATTTAATCTAATATTTTTAAAAAATCCCAAAAACCCATATCTCTAGCAGATACATTTCAATATATATGTGAAATTTATATACATTAATCTGGAAACGAGAGAAATCCCATTGCGCATGCGCGTCTTGTAGTTCTCAACATGTACGCTAGTTAGCGCGTCTCTCTCCAACAAATGTATTTTTCTCCACAGATACTCTCTACTTAGTAACGACAATGGATTCATGGGCTATCCTCCCTCTTTCTTTTCTCAAAGAACTCTCCTGGCTCGATTTCAAATGAACACGTCGCATCCCCGGAAAGTTGAGTTCATTAAGAAGCCTGTGTTTAGTGTGATGGGGCTGCTCTCCATTCTTGGTGACCGACAGGTCTTCACTGAAGTTTCCATGGTGACCAATTGTGTAAGTTAGCTGTCAGTCGTAGACATGCAACCGAGGCCGAAGAACATAAAATACTTTAAATAACGCGTTTACTTCTATAGCGGAAAAACGTTCCTTTATTTGCCACAATGGCAATACAAGAATTCCAAGGCTGAGGATGGACAAGCGCGCGATTTCGCGAAGTTCCCTCCAAACCCACAAAAAAATACCTCGGAATGCAGCTCAATTTGGAGGACATAACAATAGGTTTCCAATTCTCAGGAGATTGAAATTCTTTTATTTTGTCCTCCAAATTGAGCTGCTTTGACGTCACATTCAAAGGGTCTATTTAGTCGGACGGAGAATTTTTGTTATCCCGACATAAAGTCTGATAAATAATTTTCTAACATTTGTTATTTTTGCCTTTAAAATGAGACAAATAAAAAGCAACATTTTAGATGCGGCGCAAACCTGCGCGATTAAACTAATCTGTACGTACCTAAGAACTGCAATATTTATACGATTATTTTTTCTCTAGTTCGCTAGGAACGATGATTTAGGACTACTTGCCTCCACCGTTCACGACCACGGCATCCGATACAACAACTGGGAGCTTACAGTTATTGCTTATAACAGTAACGACACGACTAACCGTACTGGGAAAGCTGTGGTAAACCTAAACATTAGTGGGGTACCTGTGGTGAACGAAGTATTGTACGTTGTATATATGATTGACAACAAGCATGGCAATCCTTACGGCACATGGAGAAAGATGATGTCTCCGGTGTTTCCTACGGAAAAGCAGTTCCACGAGCTTCGTCTAAATCAGGTAACTAGTACTTTTTCCTCTCTACTTCATAACAACCTAAAATTAACAGATCAAAAACAGTTTTCCGTGTTTGATACTCTGATCCCGTGTTTGATACTCTGTTCCGCTACGCGTCGTGGTTTCCTACGCTCCTCTCGTGTTCTCCCAACATCCCGCGTGTTTTGATCAGAGTATCAAACACGGAAAACTGTTTTTGATCTGTTAATTTTATTGCAAATCTGACAGTTGCAATACTCGCGCGCGCTAAAATGACGCGAGCGTGTTTTGATACTCTCATCAAGCATGGTTTTCGACCAATCGTAGCGCGCGTACTATCCCAATTATTTTATAAAAGACTTTAAAGAAGACTTAGGAAGCTGAGAATTGGAAACCTATTGTTATATCCTCTAAATTGAGCTGCATTTTGACATGCAATTGGTATCGTATTTCCCAGGAACCTGTGCGGGTGGCTGGCCCGCTTCCCCTTCCTCCAGAAGTGCGTCCAGGGATCATTACGTCTCGCTTAGAAGTGGCTTTACCTGGTGTGGTCTTGATGCATTTTTGTGCTAAGCCACTAACTCCTCCCTCAAAGGTATGAGGTAAAAGTTAAACTCATATTATCGTGGTTCAGTATTTTTTTAATTGGTTTTTAGGGACGTGCATGTGCTAGGTAAAAGTTAATMGAAAGACAGAAATTTGTAACACGTACCGTTACCTATTTCTAGATTGCAGAGGTTTCGCTTCTTGATGTTTCAAGCAACGAGGTCCTGGTGTCATGGAAACACCCTGGAGCCCGGTAACCACGTGATATATTGATTAGCTAAATAATATCTAATAACATCAATAGTGATGAAAGCCATTGCTTAGTTTCGTCACGACACATCCATTATTTTAATATCTTAATACTATCATTCAGCGATTAGTTATTGCGCAAGAGCATCATCAAGGCCGCATCACGTGACACTTAAAATATGTTAATAATATCTTATTAATATTTAAAAATACCCATTGCGCAGGTGCATCAAGGTACCACGTGGTACATTAAATATTTCTATAATATCGTATTAATATTATTAATTTTCATTGCGCCGGGGTATCACTTGACATAGAAGATTTTAATAATATCTTATTAATATTAATAACATTCATTACGTAGGTGTATCAAGACATATAAAGTTCTATACTCGAAGACTTTCGAAGCCGGTCCTTATGTAGTGGTGAACCACGTGGATATCATCTTCCTTGCCTATCAAGTGGTCGTTGAAGATGAGAAAGGTAATAGACCCTAACCCTAATGAGGTTCATACTTAAACTACGACAATCCTTTTCAAAATCTCTTTTATATTCGAATGTTAAAGTGCAAATGAACCCTTCGACAATACGAAGAGATAACTAGCTAAAAACTAGTGAGAGCTGCATCTCGAAACGTCAGTAAGCTTTTTCATCTTTTCACGGTGTATAATTTACCTTTTTATCATTACTCCTTCGACTATACTTCCAGTACTGAAAGTATTGTCGAAGGGTTCATGTGCACTTTAAAACTCTTTTGAGAATACCAAGATAATAATCAGCATAACAAAAAGCTAATGAAAGGGATTATGGAAGCGTAGATATAAAATGTCATCATGCCTGAGGTTTATTGAATTTCCAGACTTGATATCTGATATGACTCCAGCTGCAAGACATGTCTGACAATCCGGCATTAGACCGGATGGATCAACCGATGGAAAGATGAATGGATTAAAAGATGGATACTGTGACATGGAAAGATCGATAGGCTGAGGGAGGGAGGGAGGGAGAGGGGGAAATGTAATGGGAGGAAACGTAATAAATGGATGGATAAATGGATGAACGGATGGGAAGTATGGAATTGATTGCATGGATGCGCAGTACGTAGATAATTAAGGGGGTAACAGATGGATATAGGGATAAATGAATAGATGAAATGTTCACATGCTTTATACATAAATAATGGTAAATAAATATATAAATAAGCTTATATCTTATGTGTTGCTCACTGTAGTCAGTTGAGCCATTCAGTATTAATAGTGTTTGCTGACAGGAATGGATCCGGCGAACAAGCTCAATGTCTCATAGCTTGTTTAACAGAATCAGTAGCGATCGCTAACGATATTTTTCCACAGATCAAAGACGCAATTCTCACAAAGGTTGGTTCAAAGTACGCGCCGTCGATTACTGGGATCGGATTGGACAAGAATCGAAACCAATTGAATGGAATAGTCCTATTGGAAGAGTCTAGTTTCTAGTTTAACTGGTTAGTCACGTGACGAGGTCACCAACAACGAAAATACAGTAATTTTAAAAAGAGCTTAACGTCATTCTCTACTTTCACATCCCCATAATGCCTTGCGTCTTTGGGGGGTAACCAAAGGGTAAAAACCCACTTATTTTGCTGAAGGCTGATCAGACAATGTTGACAATGCCTTGAAGAAACTGTACACGCAAAAATAGCTTGGAATAAACTGATAATCAGTATTGTACAGATTTAAGCAGGTATAGTATAAATTCAATTAAGAAACCTTTCAACTTGGGACAGTTTTTTGATTGGTTACACCCCCCCCCCTCCCCCAAAGACGCAAGGCATTATGGGGATGTGAAAGTAGAGAATGCATAGGAAAGAGTTGGGGTAAACACTAATATATTTCCAGTCAAAGGAAAAGGAAAGTTGTAGTTGAATATCGACCCACCCCACATTACTTTCCGCAAAAAAACCTACAACTTTGGTCACCTTGTTTTTCTATTAGACATTCGGAGGTTGAGGGAAAACTTGGTTCGAGGTGGCATTGCAGAGCATTGTGAGGCTGTTTTAAGAGACGTATTTCCAAGATGGCATCTACCAAGTTGCACTGCCAACTCGAACTACTTTTCTTCCTAACCTCTGAATGTCTAATAAAAGCTTGATGGAAGACTCCACTCAGACGTCCAGCCCAGTTAATATAATGAATACTCTGTATTTTCCATTAGTGGTATTGTCTTATCTCAGTACAATCTATTTACCTATATCTATCATCTTAATACTCGTCCTAGAGATTCTGTTATGGAGTGAGTCTTATGGTACGTCATTAGCGGCTTATTACCGATTCACCCTAGATAGGATCTCGTTTGAAATTAAGGAAGGAAGCTTCAATCTCATCCCCCTTCAGCAGTTCCTGTTTTGGTTCTGTTAAGTGCATTGAAATTCCGCGTTTAAAAGCCATTGGAGAGTTTTGTTGGGTCGAAAAAAACAAGGGTCACGACAAACTTGGAAAAATCTCCACCAAGAATCCCGGGAAATATTTAGTTATAAAAAACGTTAGTTGTAAGAAAGCAGCTTTTTTGTCAAATAGTATTTTCATGAAAATTAATCGTAAACTTATTTCGAAAAATTTGTAGATATATATGAATAAAATAATGTACTAATATATATAAATAATATTGATATTCTATGGGTTTTTGTTACTGCTGACTAAGGCCACATCCACACTATGCCGGATAGATTTGAATCCGCAACTTTCACACCGAAACCGAAAAAAAAGTTTTCCGTCCACACATGAAAACGGAGAAAATGTTTCGCGTCCACACTAGTCCGATCAGAGGCGGCAAAAACGCTTCATTGCACATCTGAGCATGTGCATCGAAGCTGAAATCGAGCCTGSGGTGAATTTTTAGCCTTCTCGCCATGTTCCCATAACAATCATGACGTCATTGTATTCGAAAAATTTCGGATACGAAATGTTCTCCGTCCACACTAATGCGGCTAGCTGGCGTTTTCAAATTGTTCCACTCTGGAGACCGTATTCGAAAAAATTCGTTTTCGGTAAAGAATTGTTGTTCCGGATTCGCCCGGACTAGTGTGGACGGTAGGCCTAACCGAATGAATAAATATTCGGATTCAAATTTCTCCGGCATAGTGAAGCCGCAATTTGTCAAAAATATACTAACATTTCTCAAGTGATATGCTTATGAATTCATTAACTCAGTGTCAAGTGTTTATTTTGATTTTCGATAATGATTTCATTGGTTAAAAGAGAACAAAAAGCCAAAGTGGCACTCCTATGCCAAGATTACGTGCCAAAATCTTACATGACGTCATACTCAAAAAAATATTTCTAGGAACATTCTACAGCAATAAAAAAAGCACATCTTGGACTTTTGATAGTTTTTTTTCTGTTTTGTCTTAAAATCAATTTATATTTATTTAAATTAAATTTGTTAGAAATGATAAAACGACGCCCGAAAAACCTAGCTAAAATGTCTCTGCGTTGTCATGACTACTAATTTTGTCCAGCAATGACGTCATTGGTAGGAGATGACGAAATAGAAATTTACCCTGATTGGCTGAACAAAACATACTTTAGTTTTGATTCCTAAAAATAGCTCTGCAAAACTCTTTTTTTTTGGCGGGATGTATAAGTATATGTACTGAAATTTCCGGTCTAATTTGATCCATTATGATTATGCTAGTATACATTACGCGAGTTTAAGTACGATTACCCTTGCTTAAGATAGTTGATAATACTTAATCACCAGTAAGGACAAGCATTTGTAAGATCTATTCTTTTGAAACACAAAGAAAAGAATGCCTCGTTCCCTGGGGTGTTGGATTTAAGTGTTGTAATGTTAAAGATAGTTTTACTCGACCGTATAAAGGTTTCGATTGCACTACTTTGAAGACAGCTCGAAAGTATAAAAACGAAAAGAAAATTTCATTACGAAGCGTTGATATTTTAAAAGYTTTTGTCTTAAAAATACTTTCTTATTTCTTGTGGTTGCGCTGCTTTGTACCCGGAAACCGCTAAATTGTTTTAAAAAACAAAAAAATTACATTCATCCGCTTTTCTTACAGGTTTTTAGTAGCTTGTTTATATGTTCGAAAACTACATGTTGAGAAAATTTCACCCGTAACAGAATACATCTTTGCCCTTGACCCTGTTGCCTTTCTGCAGGCCTTGCCTTTATTATATTCAAAGTCGTCAGTTGTCGAATAAATTAGCTAACCTCAACTGTTGAACGAGCAGAAACAATGAGACAAAGCTGTTGATATAGTACTGTCCAATCAGAGAGGACTAATCCCGCGGAACCTATATTTGCATTTGGCTGTCTTACATCGACTTGGCTCTAGTAACGCTCGCGTATGACGACGGCTGGAAAGGGAAACATGAAACTAAAATCGTCAGTAGAAAATCCAGTTTGACGGAAAGATCCCTTTCTATTACGGAAACTTTGAATTCGCGTTCTGCAAAGACGGGATAACTACGGCTGTTTGGAGAGACGAGATAAAGGTGGTTTTTCAAACGACAAACTACAACAGCAAGACTTGTCTTGCTAAATAGAAATCTATTTTTCAAGGCTGTTTGAAATTTGGGAATTTTGGTGATTATTACTGGTTTTTCAGTTTTGAAGCTGTTATGGGGAACGTGTTTTTCCTGTCGCTTCGTCGTATTCGACCGATGTTAAAGGTGAAAAGACCTTTTCATGTTGTAATGCTTGGTCTTGACAACAGTGGGAAGACAACTATCCTTTACCGTAGTAAATTCCGAGAATTCGTAAAGACTGTCTCGACTACAGCTTTCAACGTGGAAATAGTTAGGCCATTCAAAGGAGTACGATTTAAAGTGTGGGATATTGGCGGAAGAGACCAGAATCGGCCGCTCTGGAAGGCTTACGTTCGACACACCGATGCAATCATCTTTGTCGTTGACAGTACGAACGAGTCACGGCTAGAGGAAGCTAAAGAAGAGCTTTTCAATATTTTAAACTGTGCCCAGCTTAACGGAGCTCCAATACTCGTATACGCGAACAAACAAGATCTTCCCAGCGCCGTGTCGCCCAGAGAAATCGCGAATAGACTTTCTTTACACGATCTCAACTCAAGGCATCAATGGTTTGTCCAGCCGTCGTCAGCATTACTTGGCGAAGGCCTGCAAGATGGCCTCCTAAGACTCTCCGAAATGATCATACAATGGAAATTAGATTTAAAACGATCGAAAGCCAACAGAAAAAGAAAAAGCTTGGCTTCTTCGAGAACAAATTCAATCAATAATATTATATAATTCTGATGTTACCACGAAAATATTAATTTATAGCTTTTATTTTGATTATCTGAATTCTTTTAATAGAACATGGATTTAGTTCTTAGTAGTTTTGGGTAAATAATTCGAAACATTGTAAATAGATCGAATTCTGTTGCGTTATTTTACAGAAATCCGTTTTAGGAGGAGTGGTTAATTTATTTAAATCGAAGAAGAGTTGTTAATAACTCCGTTAAGAGGAAAGGAAAATTGAGGAACACATTTATTTAGTCAGGTTACAAGAATTCTTTAATTCATTACATTCATGGAGAGTCAACTATTGATCTTCGTACATCAGAATTTGTCTTTGTTTTTTTGTCTAGAATATTGCTCTCCGTACGATCTACACCTGTAACCATTTTTACGTTCACAATTTTGCGTGGGCAAATTAAAGACCTCACACCAATGATCCCGAGAACTATATTTATTTGATAATTCTGAGTTCAATGGAGTACATACATTAGACTTTGAAGTCTTCTTACAAGAAGTCCACTTTTTCAATGCAAGGAGTCAAAAGCCATCTCGGCGCTATCAAAAAGTTGGCAGGACACAATGGTTCTTAAAAACTCTGCAGCCTACGATCTATCACTAGGAATTTTCCTGTTACGACTTGTAGTAATAATATATCTACTCTTCATCTTCAGTTACTATTCTAAAAAAATTGATAGCTAGATAGAATTACATTTAAAAAAACGCCATAAAACTAGATTCGTTGGAGTTGCCGAAAAATTTTAGTGTAGCGTAAATTTTCAGTTTCGTCAAGCAATTATTTTTTACTGAAAAAAGTAAAGTAATTTCTCTTTAAGTTTCCTTTTCTACTTTTAGTTTTAAGTTATGTTTTCAGTTCTTCATCTTTAAGTTGAAGTATTTCTGTTTTATTCAACGAAAAACGAATTTAAACTTGAAAAACGATTTGACAATCCTGTTTTGAAATTGCAAAATACTCGATAAACGTATTCCAATATCATGCACCCAGTTTCAATTTGCTCGGGAAATTTCAACTTTAGCGTCAAAGCAAAGTAACACGCGATTCCATTATTTGGGCACTTCTAAAATCAAAAACATAAAACATAATCTTGATATTTTTCGCTAAATTCCAAAAAAGATGCTTCAGTTATGAATAATCAAGATTTTTATACAAAATATTTTTATAATCTAAGAGCACTGGAATGCAGGGGCTTACAGCAGGGAGCCGGCGAAACTCACAGCATTGCAGTGTTGTTTTTCCTTTGAAATTAATTTTAAGAGAACATCCGACAGCAAGTCTAGAATATTCACGTCTACGCTACGGCTTCTTTATTTAAAAATTACGATTTTCGTTGTTTTATATTTTTCTAGCACATTGAAAAACACGGGAATTATCGTAAAGGCACTTATTTGCTATCATTTGATGTGTTGCCTAATGAAATGCCTAATGAAGTGGAAAAAGCAATGTCAGTATGCGTGCGAGATTCCTTCGAGGTATTCGTGAAAAGAACCACGCTAGTATGAAAACAAGTCTCAATTAGCTATTCATAGGAATTCCCCAGGATTGCTTTCAGATTTCGGCATAATTGAAGCCCTGTATTACTGAAATTAAATGGCTTTTCAGCTCAAGTAAGGATTTTCTATTTCTTTGAGAGTTCTTAATATGGTAGGTCTTTCTAAAAAAAAGTCATAAATGATGCAGATAAACTGCATCAGAAAATCTCAATATCAAAACACAAATCGTGTCAAACCAACGTACACGCCTCAAAGGCAAAAGAGTAAAATACATAGCAAGTTCAGTGCGTTTAACGAGGTATTACTGACGCACTCAAGGGGAAAATTCTGAACCCCATGCCAGAAAATGGCTKTTGGCTAATGATTAAAGGACTCAAGCTTGGAGCAATAGTGGTGGAGTTTTGTGGTTTTTAGTGATTTTTGCGGAGAGAGGTTAACCGTAGTGCCCGGGAGAATAACAAACGAAAATTGAAACAAAATGAATTTAGCGCCGCTCTAGTTTTATTGCTGTTAATCAGCTCCAAATTTGTACCTCATTTCCGCCCGAGTTCGCGTGAAGTCGAGGATGGATCTAAGGATTCAACTTCATTCAGTCCATTTACTACATCTTCAGTAATTAAGTCCAATTTCGAATATAAAAACAGCCCTTGAAAAGGTTTATTAATGCGTATTTAATTTTCTTTCTAGAAGTCAATCTCTTTAAGTATGATATTTTTAAAGAAGAAATCCAAATGCCACGGCTGCTTTTCGAACAACATAGGCGTGTCGAAATTTTCTCTCACAAAAATGTCCTCAGAAAAAATCTTTGCGCAAGTCCGAAAATATGATGTAACACCGAAAAGGTTTCTACATTCACGCTCTTTCATTGCATAGTACGCTGTTTTCTTGTTTGTGATTCGTCCAGGGTGGAAGCCATTTTGGTGTCAGCAGCGGGGCGTTTCTCTCTCGTACAAAATCCAAACTTCGTCTCCGAATCAAAAAACCCGAAAAATTAAAACTTTATGCGCTTGTCAAATATATACGCATCAATATATATCTCTACCACGAAGTATTAATATTTAATCGAGGAAGAATATAAGCAGCGACGCTGAAAAATAACCGCTTAAATGCTGAACAAAGGGATTAAAATTACGGCACATGTTGGTGAAGCACGCAAGTCAAAGGAATACACGAATACGATTGATTACGAATGATTTGGAATAGGAATTGAAAATATGAGCTATAATTGATAGAACTACATTTTGTTGTCGATAAAAATAATAGCTCAAGCTAGAAAAGCAAGGATAAACTATATTAATCGTATCTGGTATTTTTTCTTTAATTATATTGATTGAAAATTCGCTGTTTGCTGATGCAGCTGCCGAAGAAATTGGGGGRAAAAGAAGCTGCTGACTAGAAGAGAGATAAAGGGAGATGAAGGTAGATGTAAGGGAATTTTTTCATCACAGTTACGATACAAAATGTGATAAACATTTTTACGCATTTTTAACGATCGAACTGGGATTCTAAAAGCTCTGCACGAATTCTAAAATAAGGCAGGTTTTTCTGTTACTTTTTTCAGTGAATTTTGTAGTTGAAGCTTGTTCAGTTTTCCTGGGATATTTGAAAAACATAGATTCTACTTAGCTACTTTGGCTGCTGTCCGTTCTGGCCTCTTAGCTCGCAAAGCCTTACCACGGATAGGGTACGAGTTTGCTGCTTCTGGGAAGTTCATAACATTCAGTTCGAAAAATCGTAAAACACTTGAGGTAAAAACAGATAATTTTCTAAGGCGAAGACGTTGTAAATTAATTTATATTTGATAAATTAAACATTGCCAGGCAATTACTTTATACTTTATATTTTATAAATTCTGAGACAGAGAATCACCTAAAACTATCCGAGGAAAAAACCAGTATTTGCTATGATTTCGTAAAAATATTTCAGAAATGATAAGAAATTCAGCAACTTCCACGGTTTGAAATAAAGATGAAAGGGAAAATTAAAGACAACAACTCAAGCAGTAATAAAAATATTGCTTTCCTTAATGGAAATTAAAAAACTTCCCACTGCGCGAAAATTGAAATAAAACCAATTTATAGATAGTGTTTAGTCTAAGGAAACACCTAAACCTGTTTTATTTAAGCATTATGAATTCAGTAAAGGAAGTAAACACGTCTGACAAAAAGATCTTTTATATGTAAAATAATGGCATTTTTAAAAACAATCTTTTGAGCGTTTTTCAATATTTAAAGCAGAAAATCTTTTTAATCTCATTAGACAAATGAGGAAGTGACTTGACAGAATGATTTAATGTATCGAAGGATTAAGCTAGGACTGATCTATATGGATTGGTTTAATACTTTTACTTGGGTTTGAAAAAATTTCCTCATGTCTCCTCAGGAACCCATTATGTGACCATTAGATATTAATAAAACATGAATATGATTTGTATGCATGGAGTGTTTTATTATTCTTACTGGGGTTTAAAAGAATTTCCTCATTCCTGAGGAACACATTTAAGTGTCCCTGTCACAGGACAATGCAACGGACTTTAGATATTATCAAAATATGAATATGATTTGTACGGAGTGTTTTATCATTTTAACTTGGGTTTGAAAGAAATTCCTTATTCCCGAGGAATCCATTAAAGTGTCTCTGTCAAAGGACAAAGCAACGGATTTTAGATATTTTAGAATTTCCTTATTTCTGAAGAACCCATGTCGAACAATGTCTCAACGGATTATAGATATCATCCAAAGTTCAATATGATTCCAGATAAATTAGGAATTAGGAAAAAACGGTTTAAGTATTAATATTGTGTAGGCGATAATATTATTTATAAGCAATAAATAATCTTAATACTACTATCATAAAAGATTGGCATTTAAGCGCATTTGATCATATTCACATCGAATTTGCGCCATATAAGTATTAAATCATTATTTATTATTATTATTACTATTATTATTATTGTTGTTGTTGTTATCATCATTACAGCTTATTTTTGTTCTTTGACATATCTTTTTTACTTAAAAGATCAACATTGCGGACACTACTCATTACTTTATCTTTGAAGTTTAACAAAAAAAAAAAATCAGTTTGATATTTGAAAATAATCTTTTTACAAAATTTGTACAAGATTTTAAATTACAATTTTTCCATATTAAGCGAAAACGATTTGTGCACCTATTATCACAGGGGTTAACCCAGGGAGGGGTGCTCCCCTTAGAATCAAAGGGAAAATCATTATTTTGTATTGGTTATATTCGAAGTATAGGGGCACAAAGTCGAACAAGGGAGGGGTGCGCACCCCCTGCACCCCTCCCCTGGATTCGCCACTGTATCAACTTTACTAGATACCATGGTAACCCGGCCAACTATTCCACCCACTTCTCTGGGCTACCTGTGTTAAAATGACAGGGAAAAAACCTATACCTTTTTTCCAACCTTTACAACTAAAAACGTTGTAAAACATCAAGATATGCGATCCCTGGGTTGAGAAAAAGAGGGGGACTGGTTTTGCCTAAATATGGTTGCATTCAGTTGTTATGGAAACAGGCTGTTGCCGGGTCTTCGTGTTGGCATAAGAACAGAACATCTCTGAATTTGTCCAATAGGGTCAAGAGTTTTGATCGTCGAAGATTCTCGTAGTACATTATCTCTTCAAGGTGGTGTTTGCCTCGAAAGTAAGGAACGAGCCTAGACATGCGATCGAGGGAGCATGGAGTTAAAAGGAATAGCCAACTTTCGACATGCGCTTTGCTTGTAACCGACGCACAAAGGTTTCAGTGCCAGGCTACGTGCTAAATAATTTTTTTTTCCTGTCACGAATCACTGAGTGTTATGCACATTAAAGCCTTTATGCGTAGTGAAGCAGAGCGAACCATTCTCAGTTCCCCTAATTTAACTCTTAATAACACTACTACCAGAATTTTTCTCCGAATTCTTTTTCATATTAAATTGTTTTAACTTATTTGGAAAGTCGCATGATAATGGTATTGACTAAGCGAACAAAAGAAACTACGAAAAGGATTCTGGTAGTAGTAGTATCAAGACGGGAAAAGGAGAATGGATAACTGGAACTTAAGGTTTAAAGAATTAATCAGAAAAGAAAATAGGCACATATTACGTCAGATGAACGGCAAGGTTGTCAAATGACGTGACCTGTGACATGAACATAATTTATGGAATAGTAAAATGTTTCCGACGCTCGACTTGTTCGCATGTTCGCAAGAGGAGGGTGGGATATCATTTGATACTCCTAAACAGACGTCTTCAACTAGAAAGATGGGGGGGAGGGGAGGGGAGGGAAAGTATACTTTTTGCCACTCCTAAAATAGTTAACTTACCTCGCAAAAAGCTTAAGATCTTCTTCATCAGACGCGACTGCCAATTGCATTATACTTTTCCTCTCAGCGAACGACAAATCTTTAACACTGTTAAGGATATTGCTGTACTCTGTCTCTTCATCACTATCATTATCTCCAAGGGGCGTGTCATCGTCTGCAAATGTGACAAGATCATCTGTGAAGCTGCCACCAAATATCCATCGGATGCGTCGTCGACCTCGTGCATTTCCTAATGCGTCAGACTGCTGATCCCATTGAGCCGTGGGCACCAAGAAGACGTAGGTTTGTAACTGATAATTTGAAACAAGTGTTGATAGATTAAACATAGTATGCGTAGCCAGGTGTTCCTTGTGGGTAGCAAAAGATAGGAGTGGGTCTGCTCCGACCCTACAACGAATGCCCGACTACGCAGGCTACATTAATCCTCGATATTTTACAATGAGTTGCGGTGTGGTGTAGTCGGATCAATAAGATTCACTCACAGCAGTTGGATGGGCAGAAAGGAATACAAGGGGGAGTAGGGTGGGATGGAGAGATGTGAACAGGGGGGTAGGGAAGGGAAGGCTTTGGCCAACCTGTATAAGTAGTCTGTGCTGCAACATCCAGAATACCATTTGAACCTCTTCTGCCTGAAAAAAAAGAGATTACTGATTAAAATCAAACAATACCATCAAGGTTAAGTAAAAGTTGATAGTTTATTGCTCTAATACGTACAGCTGCTTCCACAACCTTCCTCACATTTTTCCTTGAGGGGGAAAAAACCTTACCCAAAAAATGGATAAGTAAACCTGAGCTCAGCCCTCCTCCAACACAGTACATCAGGGAACCCATACTGAAGAGGATGGACTACCTTGCAGTCTACCAAAAGAGCTACAACAAACCCATCCCAAGACACTTTACCTGCTGCTGTGGTGAACCCAATGGATTGTGATGCTCTGCCAAAGGACTTGGTAATGAGAACTCAGCTAGCATTGCATGTAGGGACATCTTGGGAAAGCGTGATGAGAATTCATTAACAAGTTTTGATGATCTTTGAAAGAAGTTTAGAAAAGGATTATAAGGGGAAATTTTATATTCAATGCGAAGTAATGAATAATGTATGTGGCATCCACACTCCCTCCCCCAGGAGATTTTAGTTGTACTTACTTGTCTACTGATATCCCAGGAGCCACAGTGTAGACATTACTCTCACATAATGGGAAGATGATAGAGGCTTTACCCCAGTACACAAGATGGGCTGCAATAGCAAATATCTGAGAAAATGAAAACAAGAAAGTTTAATAATTGATGGTAAATGATGATAATGAAGTTAGGGGTGTTGATGATGATGAATGACAGTGATGGTGATGGTAA